CTCCAAAATCTCTCCCACCAACTGCAATAGCAATTGTTTATTCACATATATGGCACAGTGAGTGCAAACAGCCCACCCTCCTCTCCCCAAAAGCAAGCTGAAATCCAGCAACGAAAAAAGCAAAATCAAAGGTTCATGATCTCTAGCTGGAATTTGTTCCCATTCTCTTCCACGTGATGAACACTGCCAAAGCCCAGCCCACAACAAAAGGCACCGTTAGGGGCCCTGAACCTGCTCAGCAGGGATGCAGGCCGGGCCTTTCTGTTATCAACAAACCAAGGACTGACCAGCAGCGTCGAAAAGGGTGGGGTGATGATTTACCTGGATGGATTCCAACAAATGGACCATATTGGAGAGGAGGCAGCCCCGGCACGCTCTATCTTCACTTTCTCATCACCATTTTTATTCCGTATGCTGATGACTCCGTTGGACATCCCCAAGGCAAGGTACTGGCCATCGTTTGTCCAGCTGATAAAACACACAAGGACTGAAAACGGCTCAAACCAAGCAGCAGGAAGGCAGAATGGTGCAGCATAATCAAATAGGGACGGTATTGAAACAGGCTTTTTGAAGGCATTCTGGAACGGAGCCAGCAATCCTCAGAGTTGTTTATGAACCTAAATCCGCATTTATGGCAACAGCGTGCAACGCAGCAAGAACTTCTTATTGCATACACAAATTAGAAAAAGGTGGAAACAACAACAACAAAATTAAAGCTATCATCTGCTTGTGGTGTTTGTATCATGTGCTAATTAACAGATGCATTTTTGGGAATGAGAGTGCTGGCAGAACACCAGGCTTTTCAAAGCCACATCCGGAGCAACGACACCGCATGCGGTGGGGACAGGAGAGACCTGCTGTATGGGAACTGCTGAGTCACGGCCTGAACCTCTGATTAATCAGCTGAGGTGAGCCTTGAGTCAGCCAGAGGAGCACAGGTGAAGGCAATTCACCTGTGCTGCCGGAAGGGGTGGAGCCAGGCTCCACCCCTCCTGGACCTATTTAAGAGCTGGCTACCAGAGGGGAAGGATCTCTTCTGGAGATCCCCTCTTTGGTATCTTCTGGTGAGCTCAACCCAAGGGTAAGCTCTTCCACTTATTCTCTTTTGTGATCATTGTCTGTTTGCCTTACTCTCTTGATTGTATTGTAATTATAACATCTTGGTTATACAAAATTATAACATCTTGGTTATACACCTGCTTTCTCTTCTTGTCTCTACTGCAGCCAACGGGATGACTTCACACAAACTGATGTAGCCTTGCTTCAGAGGAGTAACAACACCTTCTGCAAATGCCAGCAACACAGAAGATGAGCAGCTCTATGAACAAAGCACACTCAGCTTTCCTCTACCTTCATTTCATTGCTACTGCACAAGTTGGCTGAACAGATGGAGACAGAAGTTCAGATGCTCGCACAAGACCAGAGCACCTCTCTGATACCATCCGAAGAGTTAAATACACATTGTACATACTGAACAATTATATATGTACTGTTGTAAACAGTACCTAATGGAAACCAAAGCCCTCTGCTATCTAAAACAAGGACAAAGAAAGAAAAATAGCTCTCTGAGAAGACAACACAGGAAAGAACAAGTCATCTTGGACAAATATTCGTTTTCTGAGCATTCTTAATACTAATCAAATATTTCAATGATGAGAATGGCAGAGTCACATGAAATGTAATGCTTCTGAACAGCAGCTGAGGAGAGCCTCTCTCCTGCTGGGTACTCTGGCTCCACAGACTCGAGCTATATTGTTTAAACTTTTTTTCCATAAGCCTGCACACTATTTTAAACTGTTTATATTGAAACTGACTTAAAGAACACTTACCTACAGCAAGTTATCTTACTGCTAGCTTTATGTTTAGAGACTGATTTCTGCTCAGGCGACCACAAGCCTTGATTAAAACGAGAAAAAAAAAGCTGAAGTAAATGACAAGAAAACTTCACCAGTGTTCAGATTAGAAACCAGCTTTGCCAGGAAACTCAGCTCAGACTTCAGAGGGAACAAAGTCTCACTGCTAGGACATTTAAATACATACTACACAAACAGCAAAGGGGAAAAAATAGATATATCTAACACAGAGAAAGGCTCCCACTGGAAAAATCACAGTAAGAAGGTACATTTGTTCTGGGACATCTCACAACACCGTCCTCATCAACTGACTTTTCGTGATACACATAAGTAGCTTTGGGCAACATCTGGTTTTTCCCAGATAAAAAGAGCTGCACAAATCTGTTGTTAGCTTAGCTGTGAAACTTGTACAGAGTTTGCAGGCTTAATGGAAAAGTGAGAAAAAGACATACCAAAATCACTGGAAGAGCAGGATGCCAACTGGTGAGTAAGAGGGTTGTAGGAAACGCACTGTATAGAGTCATTATGCCTAGAATGAAGTTACAATCACATTTCAGTAAATCATTCTTAAACGCCTCTTTCTGACTTTCAGCAAAGTAGCTGAAGGGCTCACCAGATGGCAGAAATAACTTGATCAGCTTATATTACATCAAATTAATCTGCAATTACTGTAAACTACATCAACAATAAATCCTAAAAAACATTGTCACTGAACGGCAGGATTCGCTGTTCCATCAAGATGAGTTCAATGTGTGCAGAAATGGGGGTTGTTAGACGTGATGAACGGTTAGATCCAAACTCTAAAATAAGTGCCCTTGTTCTCCTGCCCAGCACACTGTGCAACCAACCAGCAACAACTGTGCAAACACATTCAGAAACAGAATTTGAAGATGTAGCTGCAAAGACATGACATGAAACAAAGCCAAAAGAAAGATGAAAATACACCGTGTGGAAAAGCACCAAGCCGTACCTTCAGCTTGGACTGCGACCTCGTTTACATTGCTTTGATTTGTTACACAAGATCAGTTATATTCTGCTTCATCCCATTTCATCTTACAGGATTTCCCCAGTTCTTTGCCAGCCCTTTAAATACATCAGAGATCTATCTAGACCTTTCACCCTCATTTATGCCTTTAATTGCTTTCCTGCCTCATTCAGACACTTCAGCTGCTCTCCTCTTCCCTCTCGTATTACTCACTGGCATTTTCTCTAACCTTAGTTAACCTTCCAGCTCTAACATCACTTACTGAGAGCAGAAGTGCATAACCAAGGTTCTCACTGCAGATGCACAGGATTGAAAGCCAGCACTTACGTGTATTTCAGAATTCCTTCTAGCTTTGAAGTCCAAATGATCACACTTTTATCAGCTGAGCCAGATGCAAAACGTTTGCCTAGGAATTAAATACAGTTTAAATCCCACACATAAGAATCCCTTACTCACCCAGTATTCAACAAAAGAGAGAGCAAGATGTTCTTGAACTTGACAAGGCTCAAGCCATAAAGAGCCTAACATTGCAAGTGTCCTGGTGTGCTGTGCTTCCTCAGCTACATGAAACCTCAGTGGCTTTTTTCATGTAAAAAAAGCTCAACCATACAAACAACAAACCCAACGCACGCACACAACATTCAAAAATCCCATTACTAGAACAGTCCCATTTTTATCAGTTTGCCATATGGAATGGAAGATATTACACACTTTACACACTAAGAATAGTGTGTATTATAAGATATTACACACTAAGAAAGTCCCATAGAAGCGATATTTACCATCTTTAGCATAAGCCACACAGTACACAGTGTCCTTATGTCCCTTCAGAGGTTGAATTAAGGTTCCATCAGAAGTATCATATACCTGCACAAGTAACCAGAAGAAAAATATTCAGGATGAGGACTGTGACACAAAATTACTGAAGGCCAGGAAGGTTCTACATTTTGTTTTCTGTTTCCTTTTTTGCAAGCAGTACAATTCATGCAGATTAAGGCATTTTAAAGTGTAAAAGCAGGTTTCCTTAACAAACAATACTTTCCTAACATTGGCACAGAAGAAGTCCAGCTCTAGAAAATTACGCACACAAATGAAACTTCTAAACAGCTCGCTGGGCCTCCACGTTCCAGCGCACACCTCTCCTTCCTTGTATAATAAGCTACTGGAAAGGACCATCATTAAACAAACCGCTGCCAGCCCCGGCAGCGTGAAGGTCCGTGCGCTCACGGCTCAGAACAGCACACAGCTGTGCCCACAGCCCCGCACCGCAAGGGAGGCGCAGGGCGGCCCCGGGCTGCTGGTGCTGGAGCCCTGGGAGCCGACAGGCTCTACTGGAGGCTCAGCTCAAAGCACGAACATAAACGCGAGCTTCTGCCTCCTCTTCACAGGGATTGCGAGTCACGAAGCGGAGCACAACACGCTCACTGAACGCGCGATCAGCGCAGAATCACGGCGGTGTTCGAACGCCGCGCGCCGCGCCAGCTTCGCGTGAAGGTCGGCAGCCTGCAGACTGCTGGGCGAGGCGTCAGGAGGCGCTGCGGTAACAGAAATCGCACTACGGAGCAGAGCTCGGACCTGGGTAACATCGCAGCGCCCCGCAGCCGGCCTGCAGAGCGCAGGGCGAGCCGGGCTTTGCGGCGGGTTAAACGCGGCAGGACCGCGGCCCCAGCGCGGGGAAAGCGAGCTGTCCGTACCAGGAGCCGACTGCCGGCGGCAACGATCAGCTGCGTCCCGTCCGGCTTGAACGCGAGGTCGTAGATGCTGGGGAAGACAAGAGTCGTCGTGGCGGCTGCCGATGTTGGCGGCTCGTCCCGTTCCCGGGATCCCCGGCAGCGGAGCCGCGCCCCGAGGGCCGCCCGAGCCCGGCCCCGCGCACGCTGCCGGCCCGCCGCTCCCCGCCGCTCCCCGCCGGCCCCGCGGCGCTCACCAGTGCTCGGCCCGGTCCCGCCAAGTGAGCGCGGCCCGCATGCCGGGCCCGGACCGCACTCGGTCGCCGAGTCGGTCGCGCCGCCGGCTCCCTGGGCAACGCGCAGGCGCCCGGAGGCCCGCCGGACCGCCGCGACGGCAGGGGGCGCCGGTCGGCTGGGCCGCGAGGGACGTCACGTGACCGCGGCGTCCGGAAGCGCCCCTTAACGAGGCCGTCCCGCGCCAGAGCGGTTTCCATGGCGACCGGCGGGCGGGAGACGTCGAAGCGGGGATGGAGCGAGAGCGTCGGCGGCGCGTGCCTCCGGGAGGTCGGAGCGGCGCGTGCGGGTGAGGTCACGTGAGCCACGCTGACGGAGCCGCGCCGCCGCCTCTCGGCGCAGCGGGAGCTGCGGGAGCCCCGTCCTGTAGCGGCGGCGGCGGGAGGCGGCCCCGGCCCCGGCCCCCTTGGCTTCCTTCCGGCGTGCCGCCCAGCGGCCTTCCGACGGTGCGGGCGGGGGAAGCGGCCCCGCTGACGGCTCGCCGTTCTCTCCGCCCTCAGCGCCGAAGGAACGACGCTGCGGTCCGGACGGGCGCTGGCGGAGCGCTGCCATCACGCCGGCACAGCTGGCGGTGCCACGGCCCCGGCGGGGAGCGGGGTGCGGAACGGCGGAGCGCGGAGTTCCCGGAGCGATGGGTCCGAGGCGCGGCGCGGGGAAGGCGGCAAGGCGGAGCAGCGCCCGAACGGCGCCGGAGAGGAGGCGGCGGGGAGAGCCGCGCGGGACGGCGGAGCGAGGAGGAGCTCCGTAGGAAGTAACGGGGAGAGCGCCCGGAGCGAGAGGAGGAGAGCGGCGCGGGGCCGGCGGGAAGTGGAGCGCCGGGCGAGATGCGCGGAGCCGGCCGCGGATGGGCGGAACGGCCGCCAAGAGCCGCACGCAGCGCCCGCGGCTCCGGGATCGCGGCGCTCCGAATCCGACCCCGAAATGGGGAGCGACGGCTTGCGGCCTGCTGGCGACGAGAGCTTCGCGGCAGCTAAAATACGGCGAGGTATGGGTGTGTTTTGAGGCAGAATATGATTCTAACGCGTTATCCTGAACTACCCGAGGAAAGTATTCGGGACGGGCGCCTCCCGTTCCGTCTCATTTCTGGAGCGCTTTCGGCCTCTTCAGCTGTGCCCTGGGATCGAGTGCTGAACGTCTGCTGCCTCTTAGTGCTGGTGCCGTGTTGGTCCCCGTGCTTTGTGAAGAAGGCTTTGGTTGTAGCTTCTTTCATGATGCAGTGTGTGGGGTGGGGTGGAATTCTTAGCTGTCGTTTGGCCTGGTTTTCCAGGCTGCATTGGAGTTGTGATTTCTCTTCAGAATGTTTTTCTCAGAGCTCAAATGCAGAAAAACACATCTGTGTTATGCATTCCTACATGGAATCTGTGTAATTCCACCACGAATGAAGGAGGAAAAGGTCTGTGAGCCATGATGGCAAACTGTGGGGTTTTCCATTTTAATACTGAGGTATCGTTTCTTTACAGAAGAATCTGTCCCACGGACACAAGTGGATAGGAGGAAAACGAGTCCGTATTTTTCAAGTAAATACAGTAAGGAAGGTAGGATTCTCCTTGGGGACACAACTGCCATTTTGCAGGGGAGAGCAATGAGGCGGCTCGGGGTGAAGTGGTGATGTGGGAAACGCATACATGGCTGCACATATGGGCAGCCTGCACTGCGGGGCTGCAGTGTGAAGTGCACCCGTATGCACAAACCGCCAACGCTGTGCCCACAGTGCTGAGCCTGTTTCTAAAATTCGTCATTTAATTTTTTTTCCTCTAATTCCATCCTTTGTTACCCTATGTATTTCCTTATATTGCCTGTGTGTACAGCTCCCAGCCCGCCTAGGAGGAAGGCCTTCAGGAAATGGACTCCTCCACGCTCCCCTTTCAATTTGGTCCAAGAAACACTTTTCCACGATCCGTGGAAACTTCTCATTGCGACCATATTTCTCAATAAGACTTCAGGTAAATGGAGTAATACAGTTTCACGTTGTGTAACTGTTGGGTGGTGATATAGGATTGAAACAGCTGCCAATTTTTTTGTGTCATTAATGAAAGAATAAATACACATGTTTGTGTTGATGTTAAAAAAAAAATAGTAATTTGTTTCTTGTGCCTTGGCAAAAACCATGCATAGTTAAAGTGAAGAGGGACCTGCACAGCTGATGATGGTTTCTTTGAGCAGGTAAAATGGCAATTCCTGTGCTCTGGGAGTTCCTCAGGAAGTACCCTTCCCCTGAAGTAGCCAGAACTGCAGACTGGAAAGAAATGTCAGAGCTGCTCAGACCTCTCGGCCTCTATGCGCTCAGAGCAAAAACAATAATCAAGTTTTCAGGTAAGTTTTTATGGCTGTGTTTGTGGAACGGTGTAAACGTCGTTAGCAAGAAAACTACAGCTATTTTCCTAACTGTGCTCTGTGACATCTTTCCCTGCTGGTTTGTTTTCTGAAGCTTTGGGAGATGTTGGTTTTACACGTGTGAAACTGCTGATTGGATTGTCTTAACTGAGTAACTTGTGGTGTTCGTAGAGGTTTCCTTTAAAATGCTGCCATGTGCAGGTGTGGGGCAGCATGGTGTCTGCTCAGACCTGGGCCTGCACGGTGAGGGCTGTGCGTGTGTTCCAGACGAGTACCTGCACAAGCAGTGGAAGTACCCCATTGAGCTGCACGGAATCGGAAAGTACGGAAATGACTCCTACAGAATCTTCTGCGTCAATGAGTGGAAAGAGGTGCGCAGTGCTGCTGTGAGTGGGGCCTGAGGGGGCTGTGCAGCGCGTGCCTGGCCTCGCCTCCTGCCGCTGTCACAATATGTGCTCACTTGGATTTAAAAAGATATATATATATTTTTTTTTAATTTCAATTAGTTGAATTCTCAGAATGCATTTTTTGCAAGTCTGCCTTAAGTCAAGGCTGACTGATCCATCTGCTTTAGCTCACACGTGGCAGGGGTCTGTTGCTCTGACTGTGGCACTGTGGGTTAGACAAGGGCAGGTTGTGAGCTGGGAGGGGAAGTAGCTTGGGGGTGTGTTTCGGAGCTGTCAGGTGTGTTAAGATATTGATATGAGCATTAATTACTTTTGTTGTGTTTTAGGTGCAGCCTCAGGACCACAAGCTGAGCGTCTACCACACATGGCTCTGGGAAAACTATGAGAAGCTGAGTGGGGACTGAGTGCAGCCTCAGGTGTGCCAGCAGTGGGCTGCGCAGCATCAGAGCTGTGCTGAGCATCGCGTTCTTAGTTTATATGTTGTGTGACATCAACTCAGATAATCACTGTAATAAAATGTTCAAGCGCTTTAAAGGTTTTTAATAAACGTATCTAACTTTGTAACATCTGTTCTTGTAAAGCTCCCCTGCTCCCCTTAAACCGAACGCGCCCCGCTGCCGTTCCGCCAGCACATGCCTCACCGCCAAGGGGCGCTCTCCCACTCAGCGGGCCTGGCGGAAGCCGCGTGCCGCTTGGCCCTGAGCTTCCTGGCGGAAGCGGCGCCGGACAGGTCCTGTCAGCTTCATAGTGAACGCGCAGAGCAGGACGCGGAGGAAGCACTTATCTGCTCTCCCACGCCGCCCTCCAGGACGCGTCCCACCTTGTTGCGGCTCAGGGCTCTGTGTGACCCCGCGAGGGGCGGCCGCTTTCTCCGTGCACGGGGGGCGCGGCGCTGACCTGTCGGTACCGCCCAGATCTCCCATAAGCCCCCGCGAGCGGCGGCTCCTCCTTCTCTCTCGGCGGGCCGTGCCGTGCCGGCGCCATAGCGTAGCAGGTGAGCGCCGCCATCCGCCGCCATCCGACCCGGGAGGGCCCGCCCGGTCCCGCCGCCTGCCCCGGGGGCCTCCGCGCAGCGTGGGGAGCCGTGGCACCGGGGCTTTTCCGCGGTCTGTAGCCCGGCGGCGGTGGGGCCATTGAGGCCGGGCTCGCGCGCAGGAGCCCTGCGCGCGTCGCTTCTGGCGGCAGTGAAGCGGGAGCGGCCCACGGGCGGTGCTGGGGGTGCCGGGCCGCCGTCGGGTCTGAGCCGGGTGGGCTCTCGGAAGTTCCGTCCTTAAAGGGACTCCGGCTGCTGCCCGCCGCGAGGCTGCTCGGGAACCGGAAGGGCCCTGAAGTCGGCGGGCGGGGAACGGAGCGTGCGAGAGCGGGCGTGGGGAGCTGAGCGCGGGCCGCCTCCCAAGATCGCATCTGGGGAGCTCGTGGTGCTCCGCCAGCTTCGGACACGGGAGGCAGAGACACTGCAGGGGAACACCCATTCCCTCCCTGGCTCTGGCAGTGGCTAGGGGGTGGAAGATAGCCTGCTACAGCCCTCGTTGGCACGGTGACGCGTCGCCACCTTGTCGCGCCTTTTCTCATCCTGCTCTGCTTCCCTCAGCCGCCATGCCTGCCCTCCGGCCTCTCGTGAAGCCTAAGATCGTTAAGAAGAGGACCAAGAAGTTCATCCGCCATCAGTCTGATCGCTATGTCAAGATCAAGGTAAAAACTCATGGAAGCTTCCTTACAGCAGCAGCTTGGGGAAGGTCGGGTTTGTGATTGCCCGGAGGCCTGGTGATGGATTAGAGCATAAAGGCCAGGTGTTGCAGCTGTGGGCCAGGCAGTGGTAGCGCAGGTGTGAGACCTGTGGGACGTGATACAGCAGTGCAGCACAGTGAGTCTTTGTAGGTTGGTTTTGGCCAACTTTGCAGGTATTCTCGCACCGATGTTAGTTTTGTAACTGAATACCAAATGCTTCCTGTGTTTCTTTAGCGCAACTGGCGGAAACCGAGAGGTATCGATAACAGAGTTCGCAGGAGGTTCAAGGGCCAGATCCTGATGCCCAACATCGGTTATGGGAGCAACAAGAAGACGAAGCATATGCTGCCCACGGGATTCAGGAAGTTTCTGGTCCACAATGTCAAAGAGCTGGAGGTGCTCATGATGAGCAACAAGTAAGTCTCTGGGTTTATTCCCTTCCTTCCCCAGTCGTTGCTGCAGTTCTGCAGTCAGTGCTGCGGCTGTGTGCTGCTGTGCTGCCCATCCCACAACGGCACTGAGGAGGAGGATGCGGGTAGGAGACCTGGGAGGTGTGCAGCTTTGGGGAACGCAGGCACCGTCTCGCTTTACTCAGCGCCGCGGTGCTGGAAGGCGAATGGAGAGCCTGAGGCCGTCAAACCTCTGTCTGTGGCTCGTTGTTAAACTGCCGTGCTCTGCTGTCGGCAGGATGGCTCTCGTTGCTTTGCCTGCACTGCTGCCACGCATCGGGCCGAGGAGGCTTAGGGCGCGCTGTGTTCCCTGCAGGTCGTACTGTGCAGAGATTGCTCACAACGTGTCTTCCAAGAACCGGAAGGTCATTGTGGAGAGAGCGGCTCAGCTCGCCATCAAGATCACCAACCCGAATGCCAGACTGCGCAGCGAGGAAAACGAATAAGCTGGCCTCCACGTGTGGGATGTATTTAATAAAGTGTAAAAACAAACTGAGCAGGATTGGCCTGTTGCCTGTTTCTGAGGGCTTGCACACAGTGCTGTGACTCCACTTGCACCTGAGGTTTGCGCTGACGGTGAGCTTGCAGCAGTGCACTTTGTGCATCTCTTGCTCTTACCTGGAGATTTGCTTCCTTCCCGGTACTTGTGCTTCAGGGGGCCTGGAGCCATACCCTGCTTGTGATCATGCTGCAGGGGAGGGAACTGACATCTTAGTGGAGGCTAAGAAAAGGTCGTGCAAGCAGATGTTCCCTTGTTCTGTAGGCTCCTAGTAGCATTAGCAATGTAATGTTGCTGTGATAAGCAATGAATTCAGGAATGAACATGGCTTCGTAGGTACATTTTTATTTTAAGTTACCACTCAAACAAGGTGGATATTCTTTAACACTGCACTATAAATATTTTTCACATCAACCGCTGTCAAAAATGAGAAATGAAAACTTATTACAACTCCATGGCTGTAAGAAATGTGTCATGGTGCACTTGTTCTCTGATTTGCTGTTACATTTTCTCTTAAGGCTTTTCTTCTCTGCAAAGCAGCATTAGAACAAAACATCTGCTTTAGAGGTTTTCAAATGACAGAAGGTACTGTGGACTGTATGTTTCAGCAACTCTGGTTACTGAGATTCACCTGTGATACTGGAGCACTCAATATGAGCTTCCCTCCTAATTAGTGTTGCAGCTGTGTAATTTAATGACCAGAATTTGGAGCAGATGGGTGCTGTGGTGGTGGTCACTCAGTACAAGCACTGATTGCTCCAAGAGGCAAAGAGAGGCCAACTGCTTAATGCAGAGAAAAGCTTAGTAAGTGATTTGTGTTGTACTACAATCCTGCAGTCTCTTTTGGAAGGCAGCCTATTGAGGTATTCTGCAGTAAAAGTAGAAAAAGTATTGCTGAAACGCTGTGGAAATACCCAGCTGTCCCTTGTATGAATCCAGCCCTGTGCAGACAGGCTGGGATGTCTTGGTAAGAACAGTCCAGCTGCAGCTTGCGCAGCTTTGCTCATGCAAGTCTCCTTCCTCTTCTTGACAAAGGTGCTTATGGTGTACATCACTACTTAAAAGACACGCAGATTTCAGCCATGTTGTTAAGTGAAACAATACATTCTTCAGGCAATTTGGAGTAAAAAGTGCGTGTGCAGTGGTTAAAAAAAAAAACCAAACTTTTAAGCTATTTCACTTAGCACTTCAGTAGGGAAACTCCAGGAGATGGTTTCCATTTTCCATGGCATCATGCTACATTGCTTGACATACCCTGTAAAAGCTTGCTGAAACTTAGCATACACATCTACTCCTCCCTGCACGGGGGCAATGCTTTCCTTGATCTCACGTGCCGTTAAAATGCAGTGAGATGCCTGGTGCCCACAGGTGCAGCCAGAAGCAGCTACTGCTAGCACTTGCCAGCTGCCAAGCAGCTGCTGCAGCACAGAGCAGCTTGATGACATCCTCACTCTGCCCACCTGTGACATCCCTTGGCTCACGTGTGGGGAGGCAGGCAATGGAGTGCAGGGCAGAGCTCTAGCTCATGTCCATCGATTCTGCAGAGGGCAGAGAAGCAGTGTCTTTCTGGATACTTTCAAAAAGCGATGCCATTTCAGGACTGGATCTGATGTGAGAAGAAAATTCAGCCATCGCTGGACTTTTCTCTACTTCAGGGATGGTCAGGAGAGCAGCTACTGCTCTCATTGCCGATCGCTTCAATTCATCCTGCTTTTCAAACTCCTGTTTCACTGAACCAGCTTTTACCTAAAAATCCAAAGCAGAATCTTCAGTTGGGATTAAGAAAAGGTGATGCTGGCACAACACTGACCACATCAGCAGAGCGAGCAGATTGTTTTCTAACCAGAGGGACGTGGGGAGCAGGTTGCTCAGAAGTAGTAGCAGAGGGCCAAGAACGCCCAGCACGCCCCACTGATCTCACCTTTGTGGAGCAGGTTGCCCGGAGCGGTTCGATCAGTCGCTCGAGCCGCTGCAGAACTGCGTTAGGACAAAGCGTGGACAGCCGGGCCAGCATTATGAAAGTCAGCATCTAGACAAAGGAGGAAAGGTAAGATGTGCTGCTTCGCTGCAGCCTCCAGTGCCCTGGCTTCAGCATGGATCTGTCTGCAGAAGGCTGTGCTCTCATCATGGCATCTGTACCACAGTGGTTTCCTCTGCACTTCTGCGAGGGGTTTTTATTAAGAGTCATAATTAGAAATGCACCTGCTTGCAGCCAACGTACAACAGGTGCCCAGCTGGACTCAGGTCCCAGGCGTCCTGCTGCCAGGGGTCTGTGGGGTGTTCAGCTTCTGAGAGAAAACCTGCGTTCACCCAGCAGTTGTGCCACTGCTGTACCCCTTCTAAGTGGAGGTAGATTAAACAGAATGAAAAGGAAACAGTGCTCCTATCAAGCTATGAGTCGTGCCCTGGCTCCCTCAGAGCTGATGTCATGGTTTTATGTTTTTTGTTTTTTCGGGTTTCAGTATTCCACATCAAAACATCCTGCAGTGCACGGGGCATTAAAGTGTCACTGCCCCAGTCCCAGGTTCCCATCCCTGTACATTACAGCAGTCCTGGGATCTGGCCCTTCCAGGGGTGGCGCTCTCCTGCTGCCTGGCAGTGGGTGCTGGAGGTGCTTTCCCAGCCGTTCCAAGCTGTTCAGGTTTGACTCAGTCCCGGGAACTCTCTCTCTCCTCTTGTCTGATTTAATAGTCTCAATTTCAATTAAGTTGTATCTATTGTGTTATCTTGTATTCTGGTATCATAGTAAAACAAGTGTTCCTCCATAGATTGTTGCCGCTGTTCTTTTCCTCCCTTCCTTCCTTCCTTCCTTCCCATTTTGTGGGACCGGGGTGGGGGTGGAAGGGCAGAGGCCTGCTGCCCCCCTGTCACAGCCATAGATTGATCTGGTCAACTCCGTGACAGCTGAGTAACATCAGTTACTTCTCTGTCCTACAGCAGTTTTGGCAAAGCACCTACCCACCTGAATATCATAGTGATCCTTCAGTCCATCCTCCACATGGTTCAGGTACTCACAGATATCCAGCCGGTCAAGGCAGCTTTCCAGCAGTGTGTACATGCATTCAAAAGCAGCTTTCCTCACATCAAGGCCATCATCCACCGTGTGTTTGAATGGCCCCATTTCTACCTTAAACAAGAAAAAAAACAGAGCCGTAACCTACCAGCAGACAGCGTGACTGCTTCACACACACAGAGCTGCTGCCGTCCCGCGCTCGGCACAAACCGATGACATACCTCTCGGATGAGTTCTCTTCTGACCTTCGTTTCGTTATATAAGCTGGGGAGAAGTGTGTTTAGCAAGTCCCGGATTAAAGAAGGTTTGTTATGAGCAGCAGAATTAAACATGGCTAAAGCCACCCGTCGAACATTCAGGTCTGAATCCTGAAGGGTTTTTAAGAAGTTACCTGTGGTTGAGAACACATCAGGCAGTGTTTTACAGGTCCACCAAGAAGCAATTGTAACTGACACAGGAACATTACAGTGTATTTTTGATGTAGCTGGAATACAGCTATGGTGAAATAACTTTAGGGGCATGGTTAACGGACACTGGAGATACTTTCATTGAGGATTACTATATCCTCAGTGGAAGAATTGTGCATATTTTTTTGCATATGGGCATAAAGATAAATGGCAAGATTCCAGCTACCACAGACCTTCCCTTAAAGTCACATCTGAAGGTTCAGTATTCAAGGACGGCTTTCTTTCTTCTTGCTTAGATCTACTTTGCTCCAATAAGACTTCTCAGAAGCAGAAGGCCTACTTCCATACAACAGATCTGAGACAGAGGCTCCCTACAAGGTATAAGGCCTTAATTTGGGTTGTGTTTCACAAGATCCTTTCTGCATAATGGTTGAATCTTACGTTTGAAAGCAGAGGGAGTTAATGCTTCCTAAAAATCTCTGCCACCAACACAATATGCCCAAGAGCAGAGTATTACAACATTTAGCAAGGGCCCACGTGACAGTGCTCCTCCTGAGCGCCAAAAGCAAAGAGGCACTGCAGAAAAATAACTGGATTAGGTGAGGCTCACACAGGTGTGAAAAATCCCTGAGCTGTTAATGAAAGCCAAAACCTGTTCCCACGCACCCTGCGACTTTCACTAGCTTACCTATGCAGCCTTTCAGAAGAGCATCAATAGGTTGAGGATGGTCTGCAATGGTGAATTTGACTGCAGTCACCACTGTACTGCGGGCATGCGGAGAGCCTGCGACAAAGATGGAAAGAAGAAAACAGTGACAGATCAAGAGACAAAATCATCACTTTAACTTTGTAGCACATATTGGGGGTTGGACTCGATGATCTCTGGAGGTCCCTTCCAACCCCTACAATTCTGTGATTCTGTGATATTCTGCTCTCAGTTTCAGCGGACATGCATTGAAAAGCGGGCTGAGGATTTGTCTGAACAACCTCTCCCAGCGCAATGTCTTTGTCCAGTCCCTGCTGTGAGCCACCTCCCACAGCCCATGCAATGCATGGCTCCTTTGAGCCCCTCGCAAAGATCCCCCGTCTCCTTTTCACCTCTCCGGTCTGCCTGTCTCCCCGCAGTACCCACCAGTGCTTTACAAGAGGAGCTTCCAGCTAAACAAAGCACCTCTCCATCTCAGCACTGCTCTTCATTACCTGATGACAGCTGTTTTTTCAGCCGAGGCAGCAGCTCAGAGGGATTCACCAGAGTCAGCTTCCCCAAGCACTCGGCCACCACGTTGCGCGTCCCTTCCTCTGAGCACTCACAGTGCTTAAAAAGCAGAGCCCAAATATCCTCCACGTAGGGCTTGAGGCTGTCGGCTGGGGAGGAGCTAATGACTTCTTTTAAGGAGTGCAGCAGGAGGTACTGTCTCTTGGGCTGGCTTTCAATCTCTTTCAGCATGAAGGGAAGATACTCCTTAAGATTTCCAACACTGATGTTCCCCAGTGCATAGGAAGCAGCAGATTTCACCTCTTCGCTGGGGGAAGCGAATGCTTCCAGGATGACGGTTTTGAGCTCCCTCTGAGCACTC